ACACATAGACTCGGCCTTGACCCGGTGGGTGAGCAGCCCTCTTGTGGGGTCCTGCCCTACTGCTAACCCGAGTCACCCAGCAGGGTGCCAGTACCAACCTGCCCAGGAGGGTGTCAGGTTGGGACCCACTGACAAGGAATCCCTTGCGTCCTTTCTGCTCTCTGACGTCAGGGCAGCCCTGGGCCCGTCCCCTTCATGACTCCACACTGAAACACGGGGCCACAGGTGTCCACGTGGTACCTTGTTGGGACAATGGGTGTCCTTGAATCCTTGGAGCGAATCCTTTGAGAGACATACCCAAGGGGACCAGTGCCTACCGAGACGCCCCAATCACCACCTCCCCGTTGCCCAGGGCTGTGGCCATGGCTTCAGGGCTGTCATCATGTGGCACCTCCTCTGCCCCATAGCTGTGGCTGTGAGGACATTCGTCTCCTGGGTGACCCTGACGACCTCAGCCACACTGGCCCTGGCTGTGGGCAGCATGCAGTCTACCCATCGCTGGAGGAGAACCATTGCCCAGCGTCCCTGTTCAACAGAAAGCTGACTCCACGCTTGCCTGACAGGAAATGCCAGATTTGGGGTTGAGGGCAGCGTCCTGCTGTGGCCTTGAAAACAGAGAGGAAGTGAGTGCTCAGCTCCCCACAGCCAGAGCCTCTCAGGAGCCAAAAAGTGAGAGGCAGCACTCATTCTGGGCAGCGCTGAGGGTGAAGGGGGCATGGCACAGAGCCTGCTGTGCAGACTTGTACATCTGTTTAGCAGGCTGGGCTGGGTCACGCTGGGGCGGGACACACAGACACCAGTGTCTACCTCATGGGCTGGAGAGCTGGATGCAGGGCCCATGCTGGGGACAGGCTGAGATACTGTGGGACCTTACTCACCGGCTGGACCTGGGACCTGGAAGCAGAGAGAGAAGGGTGCCCAGCAGAAGGAACCGAGGCCTGGCAGAGCAGGGGGGCCTGGGGACAGGGCCCTTCTCATGGCTGGAGCCCTGGGTGTGAGGGGTGCAGAGAAGGAGGGGGGCATGTGAGCCCTGGGTGAGCCGGGGCGGCGGTCCGCCCCCACCCCCTGCAGCGCCCGTGGCCATCAGAAACTGCTCAGACAGGCTCAGGCCGCAGGCCGAGGTCTCCAGTCCAGCCTTACCGGGAAGGAAGGAGGGGAGCAGCCCCACATCCCAGGAGAGGTGACGACCAACGTTGGGAATGAGTGGTCAAGCGAGATCAAGGCCAGGAGGCAGGACAGACAGGCTGGCCGGTAGCTGGGCCAAGCCCGTGGGGGGGGAGTTGGCTCAGTCCACTGTTTTTCCAGGTCCAGAGGGCCGCAGGAGGAGAGGTGCCACCCCAGCAGGAACAGGAAAGCCCCCAGCCCAGGGCGGGAGGCCTCTTGGCTGTTTTCAGAAAACACAGGAAGCTCCAGAGGGACCAGCCTGCTGGCGGCACCTCCCCTCCCTGACTCCAGCGGCAAGCGCCCGGTCAGCATCTCTGCATCCTGCACGTGACAGAGGTGGCACTGGCCGGTCCTGGACTCCCTCAAACTCTTCTCACGTGCCATCTGGTTTTGTTTCTTAGCTGAGATGTAATACACAGAAAAACATACCATTTTAAATAACTTTACAGAATTGATGAAAAAAATTGACCTGTCTTCAAAAAACGCAATATATCCCAAACAGAAATAGAATGTTCAACTTTCAAACGACAGGTGGGGAAATAATGATTTTTTTTAAAAATGAGAATATTTAAAGAAAACCAGAGGAGGATAAAAAAGAAGCAACCATAAAGTGGAGAAAACAGGAAGCACGGAAAAGATCCTGCAACTAAATCCAAATATATTAGCAATTATATGAAATGTAAAATGTATTTAATATGTCAATTAAACTGTAGAGATTTTCAGATTGGCTAACAAGTAAAATTTAGCTACATGCTGTGTGCAAGAGACCTGCCTTAAACACGGAGACAGAAACGTTGAAAGTAAAATGATGGGAAAACACACGTGGAGCAAATTGTTAACAAATATTGCCATTTCTCTATTTTCTGCCCCAAAACTCCATTTAAGTTACGCCAGATCTTCTCCTGGCTTTCTCCGGGCCTTAACCCCCGTTTCTGTCTTTTATCTTTTTCTGTCCCTGCACTGCCATCTGGAACGAGCTTCCTCAGCTGTGTCTTCCGTATCCGTTTTTCCCCTTCAGCTGTGTTTAATGCTATTTAACTGCCCGAGCATTTAATTTTCAAAAAATATTTTTTTCTTTGTTTCTAAAAGTTCTATTTTACTTTTAAAAATTTGCTGTTTATTTTTTTAATGAATTGGACCATTTCATATTTTCAATTCTTTCATTTCTCAATATTTTAATTAATTAATTAATTAATTTTTAAAAAGATTTTTATTGGGGAATTGGGGGATGGGAACAGCGCTAGGGAATTGGGGGAAGGGGAACAGACAAGTTGCTGTCCTTTTGTTCTTCAGTCTAGTTGTGGAGGACGTCGCTTCACTGGCCCAAGTTGGCACCATCATTGCGCTCTTCCCAGGCCGAGGCACATCAGTCTCTGGCTTCTGGACGGCCGCTCACGCTGGCTGCTGGCCACACACAGTAGCCCATAGCAAACCACTGCAGCAGGGACTGCAGCCCACACCGTCCCCGGTGACTCATGGCAGCCCAGCTCCAGGTTGAGCTGTTGTTCAGCATCTTAGCTGTGGAGGGCAGTGTCACTGGCCCTCATATGTGGGATCTGAACCGGGGCCCTCTGGCGTCCCAAGCCAGTTCTTAACCATTGCGCCACTTGCCCGGCCCCATTTCTCAATATTTTAAACACACGCACTTTATCTTTGACATCTCTAATTGTTGAGTCTTCTTTCTGCTGAACGTTTTTGGGGAGGTTTTTTCCTTGCGTGTCCCACAATGTTGGATGTGAGTCCACATCTGTGGTTTAGCCGTGGAATCCTGTGCAGTTGGTTTCAGGGCTATATTCTTCTACAAGAAAGGACTTGTGCTCCTCTCAGGAACCCTCGCACCCCTTACTTGCTAAGGCGCACGGTAAATTAAAACCCAACCCTTCAAGTAGGTCCATCTGTGACTGCAAATTCTAGCTGTGACTGACCTCCAGCCCGGGGACCTGCTATGTCCCTTTGCTGCAGTAGATTTTTTCCAGTCCAGCCCCCCTTGAAGTGCCCCTCCTTTGGGGGCCCAGCTTCCAGCAACAGCCTCAGTCCCAGCTCTCCCTCAAGCTGCTTGGCGTCCCATCTCCTAACCACTGGGAGCAGCTCCTCGATGCTGAGACTGCAGACACAGTCCTGGCACCCTCATTCAGGCTTCAAATCTGGGGTCATGGCCAGTGCTCCTGGGAGGTACCTGTGCACCCGCGTAACCAGCAGCAGTTTCCAGACTCCCCAGGCACCTCACTGCAGAGGACCTCCTCTCAGGGAAGGCCGGCCCTGCCTGCAGACCGCATGAGAGCGTTGGAGAAGCTACAACAGAAGTGCTCACCTGTAGGCGAACTTCCTAGTTTTAGGGTGTGGGCAGCAGGTTTAATAAAAAACCCAGAAGCTCTGGGGCAGGCAGGGCACCTGCAGCCTTGCTTGCCTGGTCCTGGCTTTGGCTTCATAGAGGCAACATCTGCTCCTTTCCAGCTGAGTCAGCAGGGTGGGCTGCTGGAGGTAGCGAGGGTCACGGCTCTGGCCTCAGTGCTCACGGCTGCTCCTGTGGGACATCCACGTTGTTTGCTGTCCATCAGCTGATAGATAGGTGGGCTGATTCCACTTTCTGGCTGTTGTGAGCAACACACCACCTTCTTTTTGTGAGTAGCGTGAGTAGTCTCTCTGGGTCACGTGTTTAGTGATCTGTGGAGCTGGGGTCACACAGAGCCTGCACACTTCTGTTCTTCGTTGACTATCCAGCCCTCAGACGCGTGGCAGCCATGGGCAAGGAAGTGGTGTGACTACCAACTGACCATTGACCAGGAGCTGGGCAGGGCTACCCCGAAGGGACAGAGCTCCACCTCTTATGTCTGAGCCCTACGAATTTTGGTCTCGAGTGCTGAGAGCACAGACTTGCTTTCCAGCCTCTGTCCCCCTAACATGAAGGCCTTAGGTGACCCAGGAGATTGTTACGGCCGGATTCGGCAACCTCAGCAGACTGGAGGTCAGGCCAAGCAGGGAGAGGAGGGGTCTGCTGAGGGCTGGCATCACGTTAGGCCCCTGGTTTCAGGGAGCCCTGCTGGGCTCTCCGCCTTCCTCCCTAACCCTGCCTCTCCTGCATCTGCCTGGCCTCCCAGCTCTAGGTCGGGAAGAGCATGTCTGCCCAGTTGGCCCCACACGGCACTCCACAGGCACCTCACCTGCTTGCTGCACACAGACCCAATCTTCTCCCCACCCAGCTCTCCCACCAGTCTCATCTGGGCTTTCCTGTCTCAGGATGGGTGCTCACTTGGACATTCCTTCCACCCCAGGTGGATGACAGAAACAGGTGGCCTGGCCTCAGTGGCTCCCAAACTCCCAAATCCTGGGCCTGCCCAGTCGTGACCCCACTGTTACAGGCATTGACCATTCCAATGGCTTTTTTTCAAATCCACATGGCCCCAGAGACTGACCTCCCGCCACTCCACCAAGTACCCAAGATGACCAGAGCCTGTGGGGAGGGACAGGGTCTTCCTCTGGAGAAGCGAAGCAGCCAGAGCCCCGGACCACGGCCGGGAGAGCCCTCCCCCGCTCCCTCCTCTCTGTAACTTTCCCTCCCTCCCATCCCCCCAGTTGTCCCCCAAAATAAAACAGCCAGTTACTTTACCAACAAAATGGGTTTATTCAGGAAAAGCAGAGGAATTGCAATTTGGGACAAAGAAGCTAAAGCAAAACCATAGGAAAGTCCAACAAGCAAAGGGAAGAAATGTTAAGAAAAAGGAGGGGCCGGCCGAGTGGCTCAGTTGGTTAGAGCTCTGAGCAACAGCGGTTGGTTCCATCCCAGGCCTGAGCTGCCAACACGTGGCAGGATGGCTCAGCTAAAAAAAAAAAAAAAAAAAAAAGAGGAAGTTGGGAGGGATTAAAAAAAAAAAAGTCCATTGGAGGAAAACGAAAGTTCAGGTTTCTCCCTGGCTGAGTTGCTGGCAAGGAAGGAACTCTCTCCTGTGGGGCAGGAAAGCAGAATCGACTTGCAAGGTGGGTTTCGTCCTCCTGCCGGGTCTGTAACCGAGGGTCCTCCCTGTCAGGCCTGCATGAGGATCGATAGTTTGAGCACACCCCCTCTGCCCGCCTGCTCCATTTTAAATGAGGTTTTCCTCTCCTCTCGCTCTCTCCCTATCCCATTCCCCAGGGCTGCCTCTCCTTTGAACAGAGCTTTGATAATCAATAAACTGTCAAATGGGGTCAGGAACAGAGTAAAGAGACCAAGAAGGGAGGAGGGTGAGGCTTTGGTGGGCATGGGGAGGTGGCACCGGCCCAGAGAGCCTCCCGGCCCACTGGGCACCTTCTGGAGTGTAGAGGGGGGCCTAGGGGCAGAGTTGGGGAGCAGGAACCCAGGTGGCCTGGGTGAGGGACGACATGGGAGTTGGGGGACAAGAAAACTGTGGCCCTCCAGAGTCCCTGAGGTTGGGGGGTCCCTGAACTGAGTGGGGTATAGGCAAGGGTGGGACACTCCCCTGCCCTGAGTTGCTGACTAGGTTTGTTATGAGTGAAATGTGGCCACTGACAGGACCAAATGAGGACTGCTCAACTGCCAGGGACAGTCTCTGAGCTGGTGGCAGGGGCACGATGGGCAGGGCGGCATGGTCGGTGCCCCATCCCTGCATGGCCCGAGTCCAGCCTTCACTCCCTGTTGATCAGGCCGGGAGGGGTAGGGAAAGGGGGTAGCCTCCTCCCCTGGAGAGGCCAGCAGCCGTCGCTCTCCACCGCTGCCCCCTCCCATCTCCCATTCGCATGTTCACGTCTTGGTACTGGACACCTGGTTACCTGCACCCAGAGTCGGGGGTGCAGGGGGTCCTGCTGAGGACCGAGGGAGGGTGGATCTGTCTTCCTACAGCCGTGAACTTGGAGGAGGGGCCCAGCTGGCCTGGGAGGGTCTGGAGGAGGGCTGTCCCTGCCCACTCCCCACCCCTGCCCTCATTCATCCAGGCCAGCAGGACCCTGGGGAGCCCGGCCAGTGGGCAGCAGCCTACAAGCAAGGAACTAATAACTTTGGTTAAACGCAGAGTTAGGGAGGTCGGTGGGGAAAGGAGGGGATGTTAGCGACCAGCATCACCACCAGACAGATGTCGAAGCTTCCTGGACACATTGCCTCCAACATCTGACCTGTGGGGTCCAGCCAGCTTCTTCTCAGCAGTGGCAGGGCTGCGCCCTCCTCGTCAGACCCTCCCTCCTCTGCCCTCAGAGCCTTCCTCAATCCGTTTCCTTCTTTCATTTTCCACTGGTTAATTTCAACAGCAATGCCTCTAGAAAATGTTGGCCACAAGCTTCCTTCTGTCTAGGGACAACTCTGCAGCAGGGTCCCTGGCTGTCCCCGGCCTCCTCTGAAGACTGGAGTGAAGAGCTGGCAGTGTGGCTGGCCAGGGCTGCCACCTGAGATATTTAGGTACTTGGTGCCGTAACAGAGCTGATCAGGTGAAGACATCGTGTCAGGAGGAGCCTGGGCAGAGCAGGCTCGGAGGGTGTAGTGAGGGACTGGGCAAAGGGAGGAGATGGGCCTTCTTTGGGGGGACCCCAAGAGGCCAGGCTTTCCAGTCATGTCCCTCAGAGCCTCCCAGAAGAGATGGAGTGGGGGTCAGGGGGATGGCACCCAGGGCATGTGGGCTTGCTGGGCAGGAAGGGTGGGCATGGTGGCTCCTTGCAAAGGCTCCAGCTGTGCTGTGCTGGGTGGGCTAAAGGAACGAGCCAGTCCCTATCTTCAGGCATATGGGCGCCTTCCTCAGCCCCCAGGTAGAGCAGGTGGGGGACGGGCAGAAGGGCTTCCTGCAGCGGCTGGCTAGACGGCATTGCAGGGCTGGCTGAGCACTCCTCACGACCCCACCACTGCCCACTGGCGAGGACAGCTCTCCACTGGGGGCCACCAGGCGGTGTGACGTCGCAGCCTGCTTTGTGCCTATGGAGCTGGCCCTAAAGCCAGCCAGCCACGTGGGGTTTGCAGGGCCACTTGCTGGGGCCACCCCAGCTGGTCATGAGCACATGAGAAAGCTCCTGGGGCAGGGCGCTGCATGAGCTTTCTTAGAGACCAGCAGGCAGACCCCAAGTGGCGACTGTTCAAGCTCAGGGTCTGAGCAGCAGGTTCTCTATGTGAGGCTCTTAAGCCATGCAGACAGTCCTGGTGCTTTCTGGAAGGTATGACTGCCCTTCGCAGGGCAAGCATTGTCGAGGATGACGCATCTCTGCCCCCTCGGGCTCTGCGAAGTCACCACAGACCGGTGGCTTAAGCAACACCCACTCAGTCCTCGCAGTTCTGCAGGCTGGAAGGCTGAAGTCAGGGTGCCGCAGGCTCACTTCTCCTGAGCCCCCTTCTGGTTCCTGGTTCTTGGGTCCTCACCTGGTAAACAGATGGGGGGGGTGGGAGAGCTCCCCGGGGCCGCTTTCATACAGGCACTAATTCCATCTTGAGGCTCCACCCTCATGACCTTGTCGCCCCCAAAAGCCCCACCTCCTACCACCATCACTTTGGGGGCTAGAGCTTCAACACACAAATTTTGGGGAGATGCAAACCTTCAGTCGATAGCAACCCCCCATGTCCGCATGAGTCACATCCGAAGTTAAAGAAAAGACTGGAAAGTGTGGCCTCCTGTGCCCCAGTTGTTTCAAAGCCAAATGGCTTGTGGACTTGAACCCCCAGATGAGGACAGAGTGTGCTGTGGCACCCGTCCCCCATCACTGGGTTTGGCAGAGACCCAAAGGCAGGCAGGGGAGTGGGAGACTTCATAGTGGAAAGGGGGGCTCCACGTATGTCCCCATGGAGGCTGGGGGCCAGGGAGGCTGGGGAGGGGGACCCCAAGGTTGGTTAGGGGAGTGTCTGGGTTTCTCTGGTGGGTCCTGAGCTGGAAGGGAAAGCAGTAACTAAGGAACTGGCAGTCCCTGGGCTGCCCTGGGGCCCTCGCCAGTTGTTAGGTCGGTACAGGGGCTGTTTGTGGCTTTTCCTCCCGGCTGCTGCAGATTGTGGGCCTGGTTCCACCTGTACGGATGGGTCTCCTTCACCGTCCGCATGGTCCGCCATCTGTCCTGGTCTCTTGCAGCCTACGGCGGCTTTCTCGGTGGGAAACCAGAGCAGCTCGGGGGCAGCACCATGGATTCCTGCCCGGGGGAGGAAGGCATGGCTCTAGCCATCCCCCCGCTGAGGCAGAGTGAGAAGTTCCATCTATTTGTCAGCTACAGCAGCATGGACGCTGCCTGGACGCACATGCTCATCAGCCGCCTGGAAGCCACCCACGCCGGGCTGAGGGTCTGCCTGCACCAGCGGGACTTCACCCCGGGCAGGAATGTCCTGGAGAACATAGCGGACTGCATCCACCAGAGCCAGAAGGTGCTGCTGGTGCTGAGTCAGGACTTTGTGCAGAGCAGGTGGTGCCTCCTGGAGGCCGACCTGTCGCTCTTCGGTTACTGCCTGGAGAGGAAGCCTGTCATCCCTGTTCTGCTCAGGCCCTGCCAGGTTCCGCTGCACCTCAGCCACCTCACGTACCTGGAAGCCACTGACAGCCGCTTCTACAACAAGGTGGTGCAGCTGCTGTGCACACCCAACCACCGTCTGGCACGCTCCCTGCCGGGCCTACGCCCGGTCCCTTCCCTCTACAGTGGGAAGACCCTGCTGACCCTGAACTGCATCAACAGGGACATCCTGCCCTCGTGGAAGGTGGGGACCTTCAGCACCCTTAGCATCCCAGACCCCTTGAAGGAGGTGTTGGAGGACCCCGAGGTGTACAAGCATGCCGTGGGCATTCTGAATGGGGTGCAGTCCCCCAGATCCTGCCTCCGGTACCTGGGCTGTAGAATCGTGCTTGGCATCTTCCTCATTCTTCTCGCCATGTTATCAGTTTTCTTAATTGTGGTTTCTGGACTCGACCAAGAAAATCCAGGTGGTTCGGTTTTTCACATAGCCACCGTCAGTGTATTTGTCTGCCTCCTCTTCGTGGTCTTAGCAGTTAACAGCCTGTGCTGGTTCAGAAGGTTTTCAAAGAGGAAGATGCAGGAGCTCGTCCTCAGAGTTGGGGAGGCCAACCAGCTGCTGGCGCGCCACTCGGTGCTGCTGGGCTGTGAGACCATGAACAAGCTCTACTTCGTGTTCGTGCTGCTGGAGGACTGCAGACGGGCCTTCCTCCAGGCCCCCGATGGCGAGGCCCTGTTCCAGGAGGCCCTGCTGCGGTTCTCGTCCGCCTACGCCTGCTGCCTGGTCCACGCACACTTCCCCCTCTGCGAGGATGCCGCAGGAGCTCAGGGCCACCTGGAGCTGGGTCTGTGCTTCTGCCAGTTTGTCTCTCTGCAGCTGAAGAAAACTGGGGGTTCGGGGTGAACCCCGTGTGTTGGCAAGAGGGCCCCGGGGCTGCACCTTTTGTTGGACGTCCAGCTGCCCAACGTCTGGCCCTGAGGACGTGGCTGCAATGAGGCCCGGATGGTGCATATAGGCCTCTCACCTGTGGTTAGCTGTGCCAAGCAGGGCGGTCCGCGGGCCCCTGCACTGCCCAGAGGACCCCACAGCCTGCTCTGAGGGCAGAGGTGACTGCTGTCAGCCCCCCCAGGCCTAGTGTCCTGCTCTGGACTGACAGCTGGCGGGGGGGACTTCGGCCAAACTACCTGAGAGAGGCCAGGGAAAGCAGTGGGCTCACTTCAGGACCCCTCAGATCCCCTTAGGAACTGTCCTGCCCCTCAGGTGGAGACAGCCACCGCCCCTCTCTGGATGGCCAGTTAGTGTCCTGCGGGCCAGGGCAGGATGCACTAGTTCCCTGGGCCCTCTCTGCGAGTAGCTCCTCCAGGCACCTGCCC